TCTAGGAAATTTTTGTTGAGGCTAGATTATAATCTCCACAAAAGTGTCTGACCCACAGTAAGTGCTCAAAAAAGTTTTGCTGAAAGAATAGTGGGCACTTGATGCCCACTATCTCTATTGCTCACTTCCAAATGCATAATCTGATAGGGGTCAATGTATACAGGCCTACCAGAGACCTAGCTGACTAATCTAACTGGGCCACAGCCAGGTGGCTTGTTTAAATCACTGTGGTAGGCAAAATCCTAAATTGGCTCCCCAAGATGTCCTTCTGACCATGAATATGGGACTTGGTGTTTGTGGTTATTATATAACCTGGCAAGAGATGTGCAGATGTAATTATGATCAGTTGATTTTGAGTTAAGCAAAACGACGTGATAGGCCTAATCTAATAACACAAGCCCTTTAAAATTATTTTGTCTGGTTTGTAGCAGAAAGGGAAGTCAGAGAGATTCCAAGTATGAGAACTGAATGCAACACTGCCGCCTTAAAAATGGAAGGAGCCATGTGTCAAGAAATGTGGGAAGCTTCCTGGAGCTGAGAGTGGCACCTGTCAGCCAGCAACAAAATAGGGACCTTAGGCCTGCGATGCAAGGATCTGCCAACTCAATGAGCTTAGCAGATCTCTAAGACTCTTCCCCAGTAGACTCCAGACCAAAGCCCAGCCTGGCGTTCAGCTTATTTCAGCTTTCAGACCCTAAACAGAAAACAGTCCAGTAAAATCTGCCCATTTGGCCTACAGAACTGTAAGACACTGTTTGTGGTAACCTGTTAAGCACTGATAAAAAATAACATAACCATTCCATACTAGAGAGCATTTTTTTTGCAAGGCCTAAATCCTGCAATTACAGCAGGTTTCTTACTTGTCTGCTTTCATGCAAGCCGTTCTCTGCTTTTCCCTTTCCTGAATTTCTGCTTTCCTTCTTCCATGACCATGGAAATACTGTCCAGGAAAGAATTCCACCAAAAATTAGTTTTTACATCTGAAGACAAGATCGGTTAAGCTACTAAAAGAAAACTTCTTTGGACAGTATCCAGCTTATAGTACTGCCCTTTTGTAATCAACCCACAAAGACAAATCAAGGGATAGACTCATCAATGACCAAAAAGGTCCATATCCATGCCAATAAATTTATAAAAATAAAAAAGTACAATAAATAAATCAAGGGATAAACTCATCAATGACCAAAAAGGTCCATATCCATGCCAATAAATTTGTAAAAATAAAAACGTACAATACAAATCAGATATTGAAAGTGCATGCAAATTCTCTTATGAGAACTGTGTTACAACCTGACAGAAAGGATATTAAAAAGAATAAAAACTAAAAATTCAATAAATAAAAAGAGAACTGTCTCAACATAGAAAACAATCAAATAAATATATACACTGAGTCAGAAAATTATTTTAATAGTTATAAAACTTTTTTTTTTAAAGAATCAGTATAAAATAGCAGTTGATTTCTCCATAATTATCAGAATTATTTATATTTGAGGTCTTGGCTAAGTGGGGCTGAAATGAACAAAAGGTCTTGGACTGTTGGCTCAGAAATCATCCTAGGAAGCCCGCCCTGTTGACACCTGCCATGCTTAGCTCTTATGAGATGACCCAGTCCTTTAAAGAAAACAAAGTATTTCTCTTTATTCATTCTTTGGAGGCTTGAAGTGAATTCGGCAGCGTTCATTAAACACCTAAAATATTCAAACAGAAACAAAAGTCACTGAGTTATCCTGTATAAATCAGGCATGGAATTAAATTCAACTTGGTATGCTTCAAAAGGCTATCACTTTTGTCCTAAGTCAACAGATTTAGGAAACAGAAGAGTTTCCTCACCAATTCAAACTGACTTTATGAGGTGCCGAATGCACAGAAGGCCTTGACATCCATTTATAAGATAATTCTAATATTTTAATAAAACTTAAATTACTTAGGGAAAAAAATCAAGAGCCGGCTAATTTTGCTACTAATTAACATTTCAATTTCATATTCTGGACATTTTTTAAACAACTAGACAAAAATATCTAAAATAAGTTTAAATATTTAGAGAATGCTCAATAACTAAATGTCTACATGGAATTATGTTAAGTAAGAATTTGGTACAGTTATTCAATAGAATACATGCAAGATTAAAAATAATTTATGTTCTGATTTAAAAGATGTCCAAGATATATTAAGGGAAAAAACCAAAGTGTGAATAGTACACTTTCACTTGTGTAACAAAGGTAGAAAAATATATACGCACATAAAATTAGAAAAGGTGTGACTATCTGAAAGAATATACCATCCTTTCAGAGGGAAGGGAAAGAAAGAGGTGGCTGAAGGAGAGGGGTAGAAGGTAGAATTGTTACTATATATTTATGTTTAAAAAATTTTTTTAAATCACATGTCAAAAATTTTAAGTGTCCAATTAAAAAAATTCTGAGGGCCAGGCAAGGTGGCTCACATTTGTAATTCCAGCACTTTGGGAGGCTGAGGCAGGCAGATCACAAGGTCAGGAGCTCAAGACCAGCCTGGCCAACCTGGTGAAACCCTGTCTCTACTAAAGATACAATAAATTAGCTGGGTGTGGTGGCATGCGCCTGTAGTCCCACCTACTCAGGAGGCTGAGGCAGGAGAATTGCTTGAACCTGGGAGGTGGAGGTTGCAGTGAGCAGAGATTGCGCCATTACACTCCAGCCTGGGAGACAGGGCAAGACTCCGTCTCAAAAAAAAAAATTCTGAAATTGAAAAGAATTTCTTCTCAGAATTTACCCCCATATGTAATTAATGTAAAAAAACAAATCATTTTTCAGATTAAAAAGAAAAAACTACCTATGTTGGCTCTCATTGATTATTATAAAAATAAAATAAAAATCTAAACGCAGAGCTTGTGAGGTACTGTTATTATTCAATTTCTTTTTTTTCTGAGACAGAGTTTAGCTATTGTCACCCAGGCTGGAGCACAATGGCACAATCTTGGCTCACTGCAACTTCTGCCTCCCGGGTTCAAGCAATTCTCCTGTCTCGGTCTCCCAAGCAGCTGGGACTACAGGCCCCCACCAACACGCCCAGCTAATTTTTGTATTTTTAGTAGAGACGGGGTTTCACCCTGTTGGTTAGGCTGGTTTCAAACTCTGACCTCAGGTGATCCATCCACCTTGGCCTCCCCTCCCAAAGTGCTGGGATTACAGGTGTGAGCCACTGTACCCAGCCTATTATTCAATTGCTTGAGTGGTAGATACTTAAACGTTCATTTTATTAATATTCATTAAATTCCACATGTCACATAATCTTTGGCAAAAGCATCTCACAATTAAAAGAAAACATGTAGAAATTATACAGACTCTTTCTGGCCCTTTTGCCTTATAATTTATCTCACTCATTTCCAGCCCTGACATTTCCCTGAAATTCCCAATCAGACAAGAGGGAAGCTTCAGTTTAGCGGCCTTGACACACTGGTTGGGGTGATATATACAATTTGGATGAGCCTCTCCAAATCCTTTTCCCAAGTGATTTTCTATCCACTTGTGCTGGGCCATTGCACCAGAGCACCATACCTACATTTTCTTCTATTTAAAACAAGTAGGGACCTCATCTTCTATGAAGTGGGTAGACCATATTTTCTTTAAGACTAATACTAAATCCAAAGGAGTTCACTCTTCCCACTACATTTTACATATATCATAAACTTCTGCACTTGGTTTTTCAAGCCAGATGTTTCATTGTACCCCTTCCCCATCCAATCCCAACAGTAAACATTATTTCTCCAGAGAATATAAATAGGAATATACTGCCAAATCTTCTCAAGTGACAGACACCTTTATCATATTGGTGCTAAGGGCAGGAATAGGAAACCTTGGCAAAGAGGATAAGATAGAGAAATGTGAAAAGCAAAGGAAGTCAATTTGTATTTTGCAATTTATTCATGTCTCAGCAAGTTAGTACATTCTGGTTTTGGTTCAGTTAACCTCTCTTATAAACGTACAGTTTAACAACTTTCCATTAGTTAATTCAAATGATAAAACAGAATTTTCAGTACATTTTCTCAGATTTAAAAGATTTTTCCCTTTTGTAAATCCTTTAGAGTTTAAGAGAGGGTAAATGGATATAGTTTTTCAGAAAATGAAAAGTCAGAGTTTTACGAATTTAACTATATGTAAGTTTCTAGGATCTGGTCCTCTAATCTAGTTCCTAACAATAACAATGCAATGATAATAAACAGCTTATAAGTCTATGAGCAATAAAAACCCTTATTATCAGATACCAGTAAAGCTACATATAATAACACGTTTAGGATTAGATAAGGTAGAAGACAAGCAACGGTATAGGGTATCTAATGACAAAAAAAAGTATAGAAAGTAACTGAGCTCAAAAAGGCTAATTTTAACAAATAACCTCCTTGAAGACTCCGAGTAGTAACTCTAAAATATGCCTGTAATTAGTGTTAGGAGATGTAGAGAATGTCTCTAATGCTGTTATGATGGCAGCTAATTCAATTCTACCATATGCTTATAAAGCTTTTTTCTTTTCCCCCAAGATGGAGTCTCACTCTGTTGCCCAGGCTGGAGCTCAGTGGCACAATCTCAGCTACTGCAATCTCAATTCTCCTGCCTCAACCTCCTGAGTAGCTGAGATTACATGCACATGCCACCATGCCTGACTAATTTTTGTATTTTTAGTACACACAGTGTTTCACCATGTTGGCCAGGCTGGTCTTGAACTTTTGACTTCAGGTGATCCACCCACCTCAGCCTCCCAAAGTGCTGGGATTACAGGCATGAGCCACCAAGCCCCGCCCTGTAAAGCTAATTGTTATAAAATGGCTCTAACTTGATGCTAACTGCATCCTGCTCCCCCTCCCCCTTCAACCCCCCCCAAAAGGTTACAAGCCACAATTGTAAATATAAATGAATGATCCCTTCTCTCCTTAGAGCCTCACGGCACTCTTTATTCCCTCTCCCTTGGCTTCCCTTTGCTAGTTCAATCTCCCTCCTACTTCTTTCCAAACACCAATGTTATTTTATACCTTCCAGCTCCTGTCATTTACCACTTCTTCAACATTCAGTTCTGACTGCATCCATTTCAACTGCAAAAAAAAAAATTGAAGTTATAAAATTTAAAGAGCTAAAACCATACTCATGTTTACCCAACAAAACCTGGGGCTGCTCTAGTATTTTTGTCTGTTAATGGCAGTTTGAAACCTTCTTTGACACAGTCAACTTTCCCCTTATCTAATCAATTGTTAATCTCAAACTTTGCTGCATATTCTAATCACCTTGAGAGCTTTAAAAAAACTCCCAAGACCAATCAGTTCACAGAAGACACACAAAAGGCCAACAAACATAACAAAATGCCAATCTTTCTCATGTATAAAGAAATGCAAATTAAGCCACAATATGAAAAAAATGAGTAAGTCTGATAAAATCTAACATTAATGAAGGTATAGGAAAAGATACATATATTCTTGGTAAGAGCAGAAATTGATACAACTTCTATGGAGGGCAATTTGGCAAGACTCATAGGGAATGCACACTCTCATGTCCCTAAACCCAATGATTACAGTTTTAGAGACTGATCAGACAACTACAGACCTGCAAAGATAGCACAGAGGAAAATAAAAACAAGGAAGTGTAAACCTGATCTGAATAGAGAATTAAGAAAAAAAAAAACCTCAGGAAGGAAAACAGGGAGGAAAGAGAATATACATGTCCCAAGTGATCTAGAAAGGCATGCGTTTACTCATACCTTAACCCTACAGTCAGAGGTCTCAGGCTAAAAATGCCAAGTCTTTTTAGCTTTCTTTATAACTGCCAACTTAATTACTCCAACAGAAAAGTAGCCAATTCCATTGCCAGGCCCTGATAGCAGGACTCATGATACTCCCAGTAATATTTTGTTAGAGGACTTGAAGGGAAAAAAGCTGGCTAGTTCCAGGCAGAAGACTTGAAATATTCAGGAAAAGGAGGAGAAAAAAGCATGAACTATAGGTTGATGCCACCTAAGAGGTTAACACCAGGATGATTTCCTCAGGCCAAAGTCAAGAACCCAGACCAAATCTGGAAACAAAATGCCAGAGAGCTCAATAGATTCTGGGCAAGCACGAATCTGACACCCAGGCCAAAGACCCTGCCCAATTAGCAGTGCAGTTCAGGCAGGAGGTTTGAGAAATGTGTGGCAACACTGATAAGAATGGAACTTGGTACAGATCCAATGCTCCTTGCAAACTCCCTTCCTAGATTCGGAACTGGTGTCAAAGTGTAGGCCTGTACTTATGGCTAGAACTGTGGAACAAGGAGGACTACAATTTCTGACAATTAGTTCTGTGCTGTGCAGTAGCAACAAGCCTGAAGAAGCCCATCAACGCAATCTCAGTTTCCCATTTTAATCACCCATACAGACGAAAATCATTAAAGCTCCATTTCTCTAACAAAGCCTGGAATGACTACCAAAGAAATCATTTCAGTTGAAGAACAGTATGAAAGTGACTAAGATAGTCTTCAAAACCACTCTCGAATATTTAAAGGGACACCATGTAGAAAAGCGTTCAGACTTATCCTGGGTAGTTCCAGAGAGAAGCTCAAGAAGCAGTACTTGGCCAGGCGCAGTGGCTCACACCTGTAATCCCAGCACTTTGGGGGGCTGAGGGGGGCAGATTACCTGAGGTCAGGAGTTTGAGACCAGCCTGACCAACATGGAGAAACCCCATCTCTACTAAAAATACAAAAAAATTAGCCAGGGGGTGGCAAATGCCTGTAATCCCAGCTACTTGGGAGGCTGAGGCAGGAGAATCGCTTAAACCCATGAGGTGGAGATTGCAGTGAACCAAGATCACACCATTGCACCCCAGCCTGGGCAACAAGAACGAAACTCAGTCTCAAAAAAAAGAAGCAGTACTTACATATCATGGGAGTAGAATTTCACAATATATATGAAAATCTTGGAACATTTAGAACAGTCCAAAAGAGAATACACTGACACTGAGACAGAGAGTCTTCCCCTGCCACAGCACTCTGCCCTTAAGCAGCAGTGAAACAAAAAGCTAGAAAACAATGGCTGATGATATGATAAAGAGGATTAATGCAACAAATATGAGGTCCCAGAGATTTCAAAAACATAAAGAAATTGCTTCTTTGTACCAGCCAATATGCTAGCTCTTACTTACATTATATAATTGAATCCTCCCCGCCCCCTCCCTGCCAAAATAAGAAGTTACTAGGTATCGACTCCATTTTACAGACTCAAAATCCAACTTTTCAGAACAATTAATATACAAGGTTACAAAGCCACCACGGTAGATGGGATTTATTTCCTTAGAGCTATCTGCCTTTGGATTATTTTTTAAAACTCTGCAACATTGCAAATATTATAGCCAACAACTGCTAATACAATTGTATTAGTGCTACCAACAGTCACCTTTGAGACAGTTGTCTTTGAGACTCTAGGTCTTCAACAGGTAAACTCCTTCGAAGGCCACTAATATGTGATAGCAGTTACAGAAGTCCAGCAAGGAAGGTGCTTTTTTTTGAGTTAAAGATTCAGGTAAAGTAGTGGGGATTTTTTTATTGGCATCTCTGTCTAGAAATAAAATATGCTCACTAAAGTATTTGACTGTTAGTCACAACTTAAAGAAACTGACTGAATTCAGGGTTAGAAGAGATGAGTTAAAGTCCCAGTTCTACCACTTACTAGCTTGTGGCTTTGGGGATGTCAGTTAGTATCTCTGAGTCTTTTTCCTCAGATAGAAAATGAAGAGGTAGAGCTGTAACATCTCCAAGAGCTGTCTCTGATTCCAAAATCTTCACAGCAAACTTGAAAATTGAAAAAAAAAAATTCACGTTTCCTTATTTGCTTATGTACTACCCCATGGTTACCCTCAGCCCTATATGTTACCAAGCTATAAAGCAAACCTCATGCAACTCACTGATTGGTTTCTAAACCCTTCCTTGCATAGGTCATCCTGGTGATTCTATCTGGGCCCTAAAGGCATAAGGGCAGATCTGAGGGCTGAGCAAATTGTATGACACATCACTCCCAAACACTCAGTGGTTTAGTTTTGAACTTTGCTCTCTACTAAGAGTCACTCTATTCTGTTTGATTTGATTTGCAAACTGTGACTTTTCAGTTTCTGATTTAACAGACTTGCCCTGGAGTTTCCTTTGTCAACACCTTCAAGAGAGTTGAAATACAAACTCCAAAATTAATAGACTTTCACCAGTTTTATATAAAATATCTATATGCCTTCATGAACAGCAAGGGGAGGGTAAAATGAGCATTACTGGGTAAGGTCACTGTCCATGGTATCCACCAGTGCCTGTTTCATGAGCAGGTATGGAATACAGACCTGACACAGTAGTCATGAACAAAGAGAGCAGCAAAGACAGTGGCTGAGTCCTGGAGCCAGTGAGACATCCTGAATTGGTGGAATGATTGAGAAAGTGCAGCAGCCTGGCCTACTCGCCTTGTGTGCAGCCAGCTGCAGGGAAAGGGTTTTTTTTCTTTTCTACTAAAGATTTTCAAGAGATGACAAGGTCCCCTTTTCAAAGTCTGGTTACATCTACTAAACAAAGGGCAAACTTCATGACTGTTCAGTATGAAAAGCATGACTCAATCACACAAGGATCTAAGTCACCGATTATGCCATCTTAAAATACAAACATGAAGCCAGGTGCAATGGCTCTCACCTATAATCCTAACACTTTGGAAGGCCAAGGAGGGCAGATCACTTTCAGCTCAGGAGTTTGAGACCAGTCTGGGTGACATGGTGAGACAAAAAATACAAAAAATTAGCTGGGCGTGGTAGTTTGCACCAAGAGTCCCAGCTACTTAGGAGGCTGAGATGGGAGGATTGCTTGAAACCCAGAAGCCGAGGTTGCAGTGAGCCAAGACTACACCACTGCACTCCAGCCTAGGTGACAGAGTGAGATCCTGTCCCAAAAACAAACAAAAAAACACCATAATTTTAATAACTGTACACTGGTCCTATAAGAAAAGTCCCTGTTCTTATTAACTAATGAGTTTAAGGGTAACGTGGTACAATGTGTACAACACACTCTTAAAATGGTTCGTGGAAAAAATGTATTTATGCATACAGGTGTGTGGGGAGAGAGGGAGAAGGAGGAAGGCAGGGAAGAATAAACAGAAGGAGGGAGGGACGGTGAAGAGAATGAACTGTAAAGCAGGTGGGCAACATATAAACAACAAATAAATATAGGTAAAGGGCACATGGAGTTCCTTGTACTATTCTTACAACTTTTCTGTAAGTTTTAAATTATACAAAATAAAAAGTTACCCCCTAAGAGTCCCCTCAAAAGAAAGGCAGCAATAAATCCCAAATAATAAAATATGCTGTATTTTTCTATTGTTTCCTTGACACACCATATATAAGGGCTGTAAAGAAACAGTTCTGCTGCATTGACTGTAATCTGAAGTCTACACCCTATCTACATTATAGTTGACTTGGGAACACAGGCTTCCTCTGACACATCCCTAGGTAGGCACTTGCTATTTTCTTAAAAGTAAAAACACTGCAGGGATGGGGGGCAGGAAATGGGAAAAGGCCATGTCCACGAAAAAGCCAAAGATCCTTAGCAACTTTTACACAGTAGGGAAATGAATTATAATGAGGTACAAGTGCACCTGGTTATATTTAAATCATACTATATTTTTATGGCTAACGAGGGTAATATTCTGAAGTTAAATAGTCTGTATTACATTTCAGCAGATTTCTACAGAATGAAACTGGAGGTATTTTCAAAATATAAATATATTAGAGATGTTTCTTCTCAAGTTAAGTCTCAAAAGGTAGATACTGTACAGATGTGATTTCCCCAGAATTTCTGATGTGGTAGTTTGCCAGTAGTGATCCCTTGTCTTTAATAGTGGGAAAGAAACAAATAAAGAAATGAAAATGAATTATGACTATGTGCTTATTTTAGCCAAAGCTGCTATGCTGCATTTTTTCAAGAAGTGCACATTAGTTTACCTATTAATATCTAAACGTAATAATATAAAGCCCACTAAAAATGAAGCACTAATCTGGTCATTTTTTTTTAAGTAATAGCCATATTATATGCCAAAATTTTCATATTAAAAATTTTACTTTGAAGCCTAGTTGGAAAAACTTTGCCTGAGAAATGTTAATTCTGTTCAACTTACCTTTGTCTGCTCTTTTCTAAGTTGCTTTAATAACGTTAAATCATCCAAATTCTTTTCTCTCTCTTCTCGGAGGTTTTTTACTACTTCTGACGTCTGGGCTATACAATTTTTTATGACTCTGTCTCTACTGGCATGAGCTGCCATCAACTAAAAGAACAAAGGAATGAAATGAGAAACAAAAAGTGCATCAATTTATCACATTTTTGTGTTTTTTAAAAAAGTCCTTGAGACTACAGAAATTTAATACTTTCTAAAACATTTTCTGATGACTGAATCCATGAAAGAGAAGATTGTGCTGAATCAGCAACATCATCTAAAAACATAAGCGGCAGCATCTCTGAGGGTGGAGGTATGAGGTCTGGGGCTGTCCTGCTCCTCACTATGCTGCCAGTGTTGCCCTCGGCTATCTTTCTGCATTCCCTGCGCTGGGCTTCTCACTTGTTTCCTCTACCCTACACCACTGACTTTCCCCGTGATTCTCTCCATGTGTTCTTCTAGCCAACATCCAACCACACGCACCTGGCCACTTACGGCTAATTCTTCCTCTCTTTCTTTGTCCTTTCACATGTTTTTCTGTCTCACATTGTCAACAAGTGAAAGAAATTATAAACTAAGTCATGTACAGAAGATTTCGTTACAAAAAAGAACAAAGAATGCTACATTTACCTATTCAAGACAGAGCCCTTTTCAAGATTATTAAGTATTGGTAAGAAAAACTTATATATGAAGCACAGATTAGTGGTTGCATTAATTGTGTGTGCTGATTGAAATTAAGGATGTCTCACAGAACTCTTTGATAACCTCCACCTTAATGTAATAAATTAATAAAGACAGTTCTCATCTATTTCCCATCTTGATTCATAAAGTATCATGGTTATGTTTCAAACACACTTCCATAATCGTATCCAAATTTTGATAATACCCCCAAATCTGCATTTGTAAAGCACTGTGTCAAGTACATAGACTTTGTTGTTCAGTATAGATTTTTATATTTACCATGGGAATAAAGAATGTGAAGCAACAAAAATTTCAAAGATTGAAGAGAACATGCTCTAATAAGATCTCACTGAAATTAAGTTTTACCTTGAGTATACTTTTGAGATTTGAAATCCCTAAAACGAGTGTTTCATAATAACGTTACTGATCATACCCTAGAAGTGTTATTTGAAAATGCAAATATCCCTCCTTCAGCTGTAAAAGGAAGCTGCGTCAGGGATTAAAGTCAGGATGAATATAAGCAACTTGGACATTTCATAGAGTTCTACTTCTTGACTGACACAATACATAAGGGAACTCAGTGGTACTTATTGGCATGGGCACTCTGTTGTGGGCTCAACCCCTGGCACAAAGCTACTTAAAAAACTAAGCTTTGCCTGATATACACGCTGCTGAATCTTTCCAGGATATAGATACAGAGAAAAACCCAAACACACACACAGGATTTCCAAAACAGAAGGGTTCCAAATTTAGTAAGCAAGGTTATTCTGACTCAATAAGGAGATAAAAAGTAACTTGCGGGCCAGGCACGGTGCCTCACACCTAATCCCAGCACTTTGGGAGGCCGAAGCAGGCAGATCACCTGAAGTCAGGAGTTTGAGACCAGCCTGGCCAACATAGTGAAACCCTGTCTCTACTAAAAATACAAAAAAATTACCCAGGTGTTGTGGTAGTCACCTGTAATCCCAGCTGCTCAGGAGACTGAGGCAAGAGAATCACTTGAACCCAGGAGTCGGAGGTTGCAGTGAGCTGAGATTGCGTCACTGCACTCCAGCCTGGGTGATGGAATGGGACTCCCTCTCAAAAAAATAAAAATTAAAAAAAATAATAACTTGTGACTCTCATTGGGCCTGTTAAAAAGAAAAAATTAGGCTGGGAGCAGTGGCTCACGCCTGTAATCCCAGCACTTTGGGAGGCCGAGGCGGGTGGATCACGAGGTCAAGAGATCGAGACCATCCTGGTCAACATGGTGAAACCCCGTCTCTACTACAAATACAAAAAATTAGCTGGATATGGTGGTGTGAGCCTGTAATCCTAGCTACTCAGGAGGCTGAGGCAGGAGAATTGCCTGAACCCAGGAGGCAGAGGTTCCAGTGAGCTGAGATTGCGCCATTGCACTCCAGCCTGGGTAACAAGAGTGAAACTCTGTCTCAAAAAAAAAAAAGAAATAAAACTTATAGCAGTAGCAGCAAACATTTTTGAGACCGGGTTTTGCTCTGTGATTGAGGCTGGACTGCAGTGGTGTGATCATGGCTCACTGCAACCTCTGCCTCCTGGGCTCATGCAATCCTCCTGCCTTAGCCTCCTGAGTAACTGGGACCATAGGTGCACGCCACTACGCCCAGCTAACTTTTGTATTTTTTGTGGAGACATGGTTTTGCCATGTCACCCAGGCTGGTCTTGAACTCCTGGACTCAAGTGATCTTCCCTCAGCCTCCCAAAGTGTTGGGATTACAGGCATGAGCCACTGCAACTGGCCAGCAATATTTGTATGCAAAACAGTACTGTAAGCACTTTATAATTCAAACCTCCAACAACCCTATGAAGTACTATTATTATACTATTTTACAAATATTAAAACTGAGGCAGACGGCCAGGCATGTTGGCTCACGTCTGTAATCCCAGCAAATTGGGAGGCCAAGGTTTACAAATATTAAAACTGAGGCAGACGGCCAGGCACGTTGGTTCATGCCTGTAATCCCAGCAAATTGGGAGGCCAAGGCAGGCGGATCACTTGAGGTCAGGAGTTTGAAACCAGACTGGCCAACATGGCGAAAACCCCGTCTCTACCAAAAAATACACAAAAAATTAACGAAGTATGTTAGCACGTGCCTGTTGTCCCAGCTTCTAGGGAGACTGAGGTGGGAGACTCATTTGAACCTGGGAGGTAGAAGTTACAGTGAGCCAAGATCCTGCCACTGTACTCCAGTCTGGGCAACAAAGTGATAGGCTATCTCAAAAACACAAAACAAAACAAAACTGAGGCAGAGGTTACATAACATATTTAAGGTCACCCAGCTAGTAGGTAGCAGATGTGAGATTAATCTAGATCTAAAATCTATATTGTTAATCACTACACTACAAACATGTAGGTTAATAGGAAGATTGTAAATGGAAATAACTTTATAGATTACGGAGATTATATGAGTAGTGAAGTGAGGGTGGGGTATCACCAAAGTGACCATAAATACTAGTTCTTCAGAGAGAAGAAAGTGAACTGTCAAACAGCCTCATAGCAAATTAGGACTGGTCCCATGCTACCTACTTGCAATACTGAATTCCACTCGTTAAAGTCCACAACCTTATAATTTTCTCAAGCCACAAGACTTACCCGCTCATTTAAAGTAACATACTTTAACACAGAACAAAAATGTCAGTAGTTAGTGCCTCTGAATTTACCTGTCATGGATAAGCTTGTCTAAAACTGATCTGAGAAAGGCAGTTTAGGTTTTAAGTATGCCTTCTTTATGACTATGAATCCAAACGGTAACCTTGTGGTAGAGCTTTAAACTTTAGCTTCCAAATTAATGAAATAATATAAGTAAATAAACCACAAAAAATATTTTCCTGCAGCATTATTTCCTTCTGCTTTTGGAAACTAAAAAAGAAAAAGGGAGGCAATGAAAAAAATATACTTGAGAAACCAAAGCCTCAGGAAGGGACAACTGATCCATGGCTTTCCCTCTCTCCCAGTTGCCAAATGCTTCTATTCCTCTTCCTGAGGAGTGAGAAAAAGATTTAAAGGTGTGAAGGGTTTTAATTCTTCCTTATACCAGCTGTCTGGCTTTTTAGAACTAATGTACTCACAGTCCTTGCTCTTGCTACTGTTTTGCTTTACTGTTTCACTCTCCCCCTTTCAATCCTTTGTGCATAAGGTCTCCTTAATTAAGTTAAAAGCTGCAAAACAACTGCTCCCATTCTTTAGAACCATTTCTTGACAGATTTGGTAAGATTTCACAAGCGTAAGATCCCACATTTTCTTTAGTGTGTAGAAAATACATAAAAATTATATACACCATCAGGTATAAGCAAAGAAACATGAAGATGTCATTCCTTTAGTCACAGCTGAGTTGCAAGATAACTGATTTCTTATTTAGCCTGCAAAGAAAGGCATAACAGAAGGAAAAGAGAGACTCAAAAAATACACTTACAGACTCATAAAGTTGTTTACAGGTTTGGCTGGCATCAATTTTCCCTGCAAAGGAAGCTGTTGGAACCGTAGTGTTTAATTCATGTACTATTCTGTCATCAATTGTCCTCATCACCTTGAGTAATTCCTATAAGTATATAAAACAAAAAAATATAATCTGAATGGAAAGTTAGTGATAAAAAATAAGTATTTAAGTAAAAAGTAAAGCTCTTGGATCTTTTTACAACTCTGTAAGTCAAGAATGAGGAAACCAAGCCAAATATAGTGCAACCATAAGAAAATGTTTATTACAAGGATAATAGGTAGGTTAAGTAATAGTAATCCTAAAAGTGGGCACCAACTCTGCCTCCTTGGCTCAAAAGTGATTGTCTTAAGGGTTAAGACTGTTTTACTCATGTTGAAATCCCGTTTCCTGGCATGGTGTTTAGCAAACAGTGTATGCTCCTTCCATCTCCAGCATACAGCCAATAAAGTATACTAGTGAACTTTAGTTTCTACTTTTTCTTAATAACCCTAGCTCATATCTTCCAAGGACCCCCTTCCCTCAGAAAGCCTCCAACTCTCAAAAAAACAACCAACAGAAAAATAATATCAAAAGGGCAGGGAACTTAAAAAGACTGGTGGTAACTACCTACACAGTATAGCCCCTCCTCCCATGTGATCAGTGTACTTCTTCTCACTTGTTACAAGAGAAAGGCTCACATCAGCTACATTCCATCTTCAGTTAAACTCTGGGAGAAGTTTCTGGCAGCATACCTTTCTCTTTCTTTTCTGTTTCTCAAATTTACAAAATATCCAAACAAGAACAACAACAACAAAAAAACCACAGCCACTTAAAAATCATCAAGAAAATGGCTGGATGCAGTGGCTCACATTTGTAATCCCAACACTTTAGGAGGCTCAGGCAGGAGTATCGCTTGAACCCAGAAATTCGAGACCAACCCAAATGACATAGTGAGACCCTGTCTCTACAAAAAAAAAATTTTTTTAATTAGCCGGCCATGGCGACTCATGCCTACAATCCTAGCTACCTGGGAGGCTGGGGCAGGAAGATCACTGAGCCCAGGAGTTCACAGCTGCAGTGAGCTATGATCACATCACTGTACTCCTGCCTGGGCGATAAGAAGACACTGTCTCTTAAAAAAAAAAAATGAATGAACAAAAATAGAACAGAATTATATAATACTAGGAATATATGTGTTATTGAAAACATCCAAGTTAACATTCAATATTAATATGTACCAAAAGCAACGTTTGATTCTCCCTCAATACACTAACCTATTTACCTTTGTCAAACTTAAATCCATAACTGAATCCAACTTTCTTTCCTTGTGCATTTGTTAAAACAAAAATTCTTATTATGATTATTACTTTCATTTTAGAAAAGTTATTAAAAACTTTAAATAAAAAGGCTGGGCGCGGTGGCTCCCGCCTGTAATCCCAGCACTTTGGGAGGCCGAGGCGGGTGGATCATGAGGTCAAGAGATCGAGACCATCTTGGTCAACATGGTGAGACCCCATCTCTACTAAAGATACAAAAAATTAGCTGGGCATGGTGGCGCATGCCTGTAATCCCAGCTTCTCGGGAGGCTGAGGCAGGAGAATTGCCTGAACCCAGGAGGCGGAGGTTGCGGTGAGCCGAGATTGCGCCATTGCACTCCAGCCTGGGTCACAAGAGCAAAACTCCGTCTCAAAAAAAAAAAAAAAAAACATCCATAGTTAACCATTATCAACATTTTAATATGTCCCCTTGGTATTTTTTCTACACATACCTATGAATGTTTTTATAAAACTGAGGTACTATGTAACATTTTAAAATCTGGATTTATGACATTATATTATGAGCACTCCGCTTTTTAAAAAAAAATTTTTTTTTTTTAGAGATGGGATTTCACCATGTTGGCCAGGATGGTCTCCATCTCCTGATGTGATCTGCCCACCTTGGCCTCCCAAAGTGCTGGGATTATAGGCGTGAGCCACCATGCCCAGCCAAGCATTCTGCTCTTGTTGCCAGAAATATCTTGAAGATGTTTTTTTTGAGACAGTGTCTTACTCTGTTGCTGAGGCTGGAGTACAGTGGCATGATCTCAGCTCACTGCAATCTCCGCCTTCAGGGCTCAGGTGATCCTCTCACCTCAGCCCCTCAAATAGCTGGGACCACAGGCATGTGCGACTATACCCGGCTAATTTTTTGTATATTTTTTATAGAGGGAGGGTTTTGCCACATTGCCCAGGCTGGTCTTGAACTCCTGGACTAAAGCAATCCTCCCGCCTCAGCCTCCGAAAGTGCTGGGACTACAGGCATGAGCCACCGCACCCAACCCTGAAGATACTTTAAATAGTTGCATAAGTATTCTATCCTGTTCAAGCACCGCAACTCATTTGGCCACTTTCTCATTAATTCTCATTAATGAACATTTCCATGAATGACCATCTAATGTATGTTTCCAACTGTAAACCACTTAGTCCATTCAATCTAAGTCTATAGTCTAGATTCTATCATTCCATTTATTTTTAATTAGTGAGTTTAATAGCCTTTTCTATATCTCAATTAAAAGTAAAATGGTCTATAGAGGTTCATAATTCAGAATAATAAAACACAAGCAAATACCAAGTCTAAAACCAAGTTCATTATCTTCTCTTCCTGTATCTTTCTATTTTTTTTTAATAGTATTCCCTGTAAACTGGAATTCTTAAGGAATAATCTCAACTATTTACTGGACAACCACTAAACATAGTGGAGGATATATGTAATGTCCTTAAGTGGTAAATTCCAAACTAATGTACTAGTTTAGAAAGTCATCTTTTGGAGATACAGACAGAAATTTTACAGAAAGAAGGGTATAGTATTTGGGATGTACTTCAAGATAATCTGATTAGGGTAGGGTAAGTGTTAGTAGTGTACAGATGAAACAAGAATGGCCATGAATTGGTTGTTAGAGTTGGGGGATGGGTACCTGGGTGCTTGTGGTACTGTCTCTCCTTTTGTGTTATGTTTAAAATTTTGTAGAATACCTTTTTTTTAAGTTCCGTTGTGGCAACAGATATTGGTGTGCATGCAGAGAAAAGGGAATGCTTATATACTGTTGACAGAAATGCAAATTAATACAACCTCTATGGAACTTAGGAAGATTTCTCAGCGAATCAACAATAGAACTACAATGGTAGCAGTCCCACTACTGGGTCAAATGAAACCAACTCCTTTCTTTCCTTACCCAGAGGAAAAGAAATCATTATATAAAAAAGACACCTGTACTCACATGTTGATCGCAGCACTATTCACAGTAGCAAGCTAAGTGTCCACCAACAGTTGATTGGATAAAGAAAATGTGGTGGGTGTAGGTATACACACATATATATGGAATACCATGCAACCATAGAAAAGAATCAAATCGTTCAGGCGCAGTGGCTCATGCCTGCAAACCTAGCACTTTGGGAGGCCAGGGTGGGTGGATCACCTGAGGTCAGGAGTTTGAGACCAGCATGGACAACATGGTGAAGCCCCATCTCTACTAAAAATACAAAAAATTAGCTGGGCATGATGGCAGGTGCCTGTAATCCCAACTACTCAGGAGGCTGAGGCAGAATAGCTCAAACCTGGAAGGCAGGTTTGACCAAGCTGAGACTGCACCATTGCATTCCAGCCTGGGCAACAAGAGCAAAACTCCACCTTAAAAAAAAAAAGAAAGAAAAAAGAATGAAATCATGTCCTTTGCAGCAACATCGATGGAGTTGTAGATCATTAAGTGAAATAACTCAAAGCAAAAAATCAAATACCAAATGTTCTTGCTTATAAGTGGTAACTAAACAATGGGCATATATAGACATAAAACATGGAAAGAATAGACACGGAGGACTCTAAAGGACAGGGGGAAGAAGGAAGGTGAGGGTTGAAAAATTACCTGCTGGGTACAATGGTCACAGTTTGTGTGATGGGCAAATTAGAAGGCTGTATCTCAACATTACACAAAATACGCATGTAAGAAACCTGCATATGTACCCCCAAATCTAAAATTTTGAAAATTAAAAAAAAGAACATTCTATTTTGGACTTGTTACATCTGAGATGCCTATCAGATATCTGAGTAGAAGAATGGAACAGAAAGTTGAATATACCAGTCTGACACTGATCGGGGTGGAGTTATATTAATAAACTGATGTTCTTGAAAGCCATGAAACTAGACGAGATTACGGAAGGAGACTGCAGAAAGCTAAGGGGCCGATGATTAAGGAATTCTAGCAACTAAAAGTAGAGGAACAATTCTGTGATGTTACTCAAGTCAGAAGAAAGGTTTAAAGGAGGGAATGGCATTTGTGTTGAATGTTACTAACTCAACAATTATATGAGGCTGGGTACAGAAGCTCACATCTGTAATGCCAGCCCCTTGGGAGGCTGAGGGCAGGAGGACTGCTTATGGCTAGGAGTTCAAGACCAGCCTGGGCAACAGAGCAAGACTCTGTCTCTATAAGAGTAAAAAATTTAGCCATGCATGGTGGTGGCACATGCCTGCAGTCCTAGCTACTTGGGAAGCTGAGGCAGAAGGATCACTTGAGCTCAGGAGTTCAATGTGACAGTGAGCTATGATGTGCCACTGCCCTCCAGCGTCAGTGACTATATCTCAAAAAAAAAATTAAATGAATAAATAAATGATTATATGAACAGAAATTAAACTTTTAAACTTAGCAGGATGGAAATCATGGGTGACCTTAAAGAGCCATTTAACTAGAGTGTTTAATGGACTGAAAAGTTAGTGTGGCTTAAGTACCCAGGGAAAGATAAAACATGGTATAACATGAGGTCCATTATTTGAGGTCATATATATGATACGATTTTAGTCTTTCCTGAGACCCACAGATGTGTTTTCTGTTATGATTAAGGTTATATGATCAGATCTGTGTTCTAAAATGATTTCTTAGGTTACAGCATGGAAAATGGACTGGAAAGGAACTAGAGTAGATGTCAAGAGATCAGTTAGATGACTGATGCAGCAATCCAGGTGAAAGATTATGTTGTTTGACATTCCCTGGGATTTTTATTGACTCTGAACTTTAACCAGTTTTGAGTTTAAACAATGGCTATACCTTAATCACTTTAGCCCAATTCCTCTCCAATAAAACAATCCGGACA